AATCTAAAATACTAATCCGATTGGGCTATATGTAGGATAATAATATGGAAAGAGACTAACATTCAGTAGAACAAATAATAACATTTACAACTAAAGGAAAAACACATAAATAATAACTAATTAATACATAATAAACGAATCAAAATAACAACTAATAATACAAAGAAATACAAATGTTGGAAATGAAGTAATAAACCTTATTGCTTTTAAAAACTACAAGAGTTGTTCAAAATGACCTCCATTTTGTTTGATGCATTTTCTTTCTCGTTTTAAAATATTGTTGACGGCTTTTCTGAGTACATCGGGATTATTTTTCATTTCTTCGCACGCGTTGTCTATCCTCCCAACTAGTTCTTCCCTACTATTTATGGGAGTGGAATATACTTTTGTTTTTAGATGTCCCCAAACGTGGTAATCCAGCGGATTAAAGTCAGGCGATCTTGAAGGCCAGTGATTGGGAGTTGAAATTGAAATTAATTTTATGCAAAGTCGATTCTACATACTGGTAAGCTTCAGTACATTAAATAACAAAATACAAATACAACACACCTGTCAAATTTCTTTAAAAGTATGAACTAAAATCAAAATATTTGCAACGGATAGTATAACTAGAGAAGCGCATAACGAATTTTTGTGTAAATAGCACAAAAAATTCCACGGTTTTATCTGATAAAGTGCTATCTGAATGTGAAACATTCACAGAGGAAATAACAGCGATGTCGTTATTTAATTAAAACGTTAAAATCTGGAGGTCCGGAATGGTATTTCAAACGTACAAAGTGCAAAAGCGAGCAGCAATTTGAAATAAAAACCCGGCAAGTAACAGCGTTATTTCTAAAACGTAATATTTAATAATGGGACGATATTTTAATATAAGACGTAAATTAAAGAATAAACAAAGAGGCAGTGAGGAAGTATTTGTTTCGTATTTTATTTTAATATATAGGATGTCCTATTAAGAATCTGATGTAAAACAACTGAAGATTTTCTAATTTAAAATAAGGCGATTGAATAAAAGACGTATAAATAGATTAAAATCTATTCGTTTCTGAATTTCTGATCCGGATCAGTTCCAAAACGGTTCCGGATAAGTTCAGGAACAGTTCCGGATCAGTTCTGGTTAGGTTAGGTCAGGTTAGGTTGGCAACAATTGACAGGTGACTTCATGATACGTAACGTCAAGACGAGTGATCTTGATATAGACAAAAATTGGCAGAATGAACCTTAACGATTTCCCATGTTAATTTACATAAGGATTGTGCTAAAACTCTTGTTGCTCCTTTTCTGTTTGATTTCTTTGATTGTTTTTTTATTAGAAAGAGGGTACCTCAGAAGTAATCCCATATAAATTTGGTCTATGATACAACACTTTTTTAAATTTCTCTTACAACTCATCACCACCATTTTTTATACCACCGCCATTTTTTACTGTTACTGTCACACCATTTTACAGTTCCACGCCAATTTTTTTGGGAATAAAATATATAATATTTCTCTATAAAAATCATTGAGTGCATTACATACAAAAATTCAAATCCTGACGAAAAACGTGAACTAGAATCGGACTCACGTTAATAATTATTAATATTTTTATATTAAATCATTTTATCATGCAGTTCATTGATTTTTTTGGCAATTATACTGTATTTTTAGTGTATAATAAAACTTCAAAGAGAATCATAATTACAAATAATAAATAAATATAAAATGTAAATATCAAACACATATACATATATAATTAGAAAGGTTATTAAATCCATAGTAAACAGCGCAAACTTGATATTGATATATGACGTATAGTATAGCAGATGATTATTATGATTAGTATTCGGAATAAATGAAATAAAATGACTTTCTTTACTTAATTATTTAACACTATAATACATCAACAAATGACAATTATTTTTTGTTCCAACATACGCCATGCAGTCAAAACAAACTGTATCTGAAAACACTGAATGTTGTTTTCACGCAATCCCAATTGGATTTAAAACATTTTATTCATTACATTACGACAAACATTTAAAATAGTCAAATTTGAAAATATTTCACAAGTGAAAACAAATAGATAACCCTTTGTTGTCAACTACATTAAATCTGTAGGCTGACTCACGAGCTGGGAGGTGCCTATCATCTTAGGAGGATGCACAATGGGCCTAGTGAGGCCTAAGTGCCGTGGGGGTAACCCACCCTTCACCCGTTATAGATAGAAAAATAGATAACTGAAATAATAGCATAGAAGTTCAGCCATTAACTGAGATAACTTCCATTTTTAGATTTGCCAGTGTGCATCTAATTCTGATTTACCATCTCAATCTTTTCGTACTGTACCAGAGTAACATATCAATGATTTTGGCAACATGCAATGTCAATGTCAAATTTCTCAAAAAGTGACACCAGATGGACAAAAATCGTTTTGGTTCACCAAATATTAACTCAATAATTTAAAGTGGTCAAGAAAGGGTGACTTAAAAACAAAAAATCCAAATATATCTGGAAACAATTTATAATTTTGTTTATATTGTTAAATAATCTTTATAAATACCACGCACGGTTAGAATTTTTGTTTTAAACATTTTGTTGTTTCCTTGAAATTTTGTATCTAAATTTCATGAAACAAATTTTTCTTAAATATCTTACTTCTTGTGATGTGATATAATCCAGTCATGTTTAATCTCTTAGTTGATTAGTAATCACCTTTCCCAGTATCTTCTGAAAAAGTTACTTGCAGTAGTAGCAAAACGACTCAACCATTCCGGATATATGTTTATTGAGCCTAAACGTGAAAGTCTACGTGTTCACATGACAATGCTTTATCGAGGTTGACAGGAAAATATAATTGACATTCAAAACATTCCAGATCGTCCAGTCGAATAATATACAAGGACTGTTTTCTTTCTGTTGACTCTAGTGAAAGAAAACAGAGTTTATTTACAAAAAATCGCAGTCAATGCATTTTCAAAATATTTTCTCCATTATTCTGGACGTAAAACGTACATCCTGTAATTTGTCCTTACTATACGGCAAATTAACCATTATTTCTATGTTTTGGGCATCCAAATAATCATTTGTTCGAGCAGCAGTTTGAACTCGAACGTCATCTTGATGCAAGATGATAAAAGATCCTTTCTATTGGACGCTTTTCGCAAACCTTTTGGAGAATTGGGACAAAGAGACTGTAGTGCACTATTCTGAATCAACAGTACGTCTATTCTACAGTGCTATCGTAAACGAATTTCTATGCAGATTGACTGATCTCGGCATACCATTTGATAATAGAGAATGCCTCAAAAAAAAACACGATATAGAATGATCAGGAACGGTGTAATCGGACGAAAGTCTTCCTTCAGGACTAAAGATACTTGGGACCAGGGGCGGCTCGTGATCAAAATTTTGGGGGTTCACAGTAGCAGAATATAGCTCCCGGTACAGCTATAGGTAAAAACTGTCAGTGTTTCAGAAAGGTATATTATAAACTTTCTAAATCACGGAAAGTTTTTTCATATATCTGTACGGATACCTATATTCTGTCACTGTGAACCACCCCACGAGCCGCCACTGCTTGGGACATGTCCCAGGATGAAATGCTAAAGAAGTACAGTTTTGTGAAAAACTTCAAAACCACAGAGTGCAAGAAAGAATGGAGCCAAGAATCCATCGCGCTTGCAATCGAAAGACATGCTATTCAGTAACATAAGGACGGTTCCAAAACCATAGAAGGAACTGAAATAGGAGTGTATGGACCGAGAACCAAGCACTCCAAAAGCTTAGGAAAATACCCAAGCATCTTCTAGGTGGAAATTCACGCCATCGGGAAGTGTATCCAGTTTAACATCGAGAGAAACTATCATAGACAAGAGATTATCATCATGTCCGATAGCCATTAAAGTGCTGAGCTCTTACGTAATCAGCTTAAAAATGGCCTGAAGATCCCTAGAACAATTGAATGAGCTAAGCGAGAAAAATAGAGTTACTCTCACTTGGGTCCTGGGACATAACGGGGTACAGGGTAACAAGATTGCAGATAGTCTTGCAAAGAAAGGGGCTCAAACACCCTTTGTAGGACCTGAGCCGCTGCTGTATCAGCAGTAACATAATATTAGGAGAGAGTAAGAAAGAATTGGGCAGTAGAAGAACCGATAATTAAAACAATCTATTGGGACTGAAACATGCTGAGACATTTTTGGGTGAATATAACCAGAAAAGATCGGAAGCCTGCATCTGCCTGAGTAAGAACAGGTTACGTATTGTAACAGGGATCCTTACTGAGCATTATTTACTAAAAGGACACCTTAATAAACTGAGAGTAGAATGTGTAGCACTCCAGAATCCAAGGGCATTATACCTAAGAGAATATCAAATAGAAGAGGGAGATTTACCTAACTTGAAGCAACTCCAAATCCTACACTTCCTTGAGAAGATAGGATTGGAAGAGTCGTTATAGGCATTGAGACATTTTCTTGGTGCATTAGCGTCAAAAGGGGACACAATAGATATTTTAGGTCGCAGTGTATTAACACCCCATTCCCAACATAACATATCCTACAGTGGTACAATGGAAACATGCCTAGTAATTCCAAAAAAAATTCTTTCTATTTCGGTTTTTCTCATGAACAACTTTTGTTGGATCTGACTCATTCTCAAAGATCCAAACTGACGATTCTCTCACTTATTTATGGAGCGATTTGAGAATTTCAGAAACAGTTGTACAGAGAATAGTAACGACTACAAAATTGATGGTTCCAGAGGAGTGGTTTTTGAGAAAGGGTTATCAAATCTTTCGTTTTAAAGTCTACCGCGAATTATACTGGATGGTTTTTCCCAGTTCGACTATCTTATAAGGTTTAAAAGGTATAGCCTGTGCAAAACAATTTGGAACATCCGCTACACACATCAGGCATCGTTTTCTACGAGAATATTTTCGGAAGAAGAATAAGAGAAGTATGTACCCAGAGAGAAGATGGCAGATGATTTAAATAAAATATTTATTTACAAAATAACTCATAATAACATTAACAAAACACTAGGTCACTAAATAATTTTCCTTCTCAAGTACAGAGTGGTAGTACTTCAATAATTTCCTCGTATGTGTTAGAAATTCATTTAGTGGTTATTCTAATTACATTACAACTGAGGTTGCCAGGATAAATTTCTATTCATTTTGTCATTTTTATTTAATTTTTGTTAAAGATACATATAAAGATTATACAACAATCATAGACACTGCTGTCCTCGAACTAATGAGCCTCAGAAGCACCAGTAACATCACACTCATAAGATCCTACAGTGGTGAGTTTATTGTTTATTTTACTAGCTCCATCTAACCATAAAGAGGACCCTCCGGAAAGGTACTAATGGGAAAAGCTGTACTTTATTAAAAATATAATAGTTCTTTTCACTTAAGAGCGCTGTGACATAATCAACGAGAGGTCTAGTAATATTGTCTGCGTAATCTTTATTTCTCCACTAAACCGTTTCCTTTTCAGCACTTCACAAGTCAGTTGGTTCATACTTTGCTGCCTGCTACCTATACATGTTTGGTTTCTTCTATTGATATTTCTTTGCCACTGTCTTATAAACCTTTTATTATTGACACTTCTTTGCTGAAGCCTTGTACACCTTACTGTTGCTTTTATTTAATTTCTGCTATTGCAAAACGATGAATCTCAAAATTAGAACGAATATAGTTTTTTTGTCGAAGTCCTATCTTGATGTTTATTCATGTCATATTATGTATGTCTCAGATGTGAATATAGAAATAGATTATTCATAATGGTAGTATGGCATATCACTAGAATGAGTTGGTGATACAGATTCATATTGCAAATAAACATCAAAATGGCCACTGGAAAGATTATTCGTGAAACGCAATCGTCGTATCGGATTACCTTCATTACCGAATTTGGCGTATAGTTTACCATTACGATAGACTTCAAATATTAATTCAAAAAGCTGTCCAGCTGCTGTCAATTCGCATAAACCACCGTAAGTATTGGATTGGGACATGTCAGCATAGTATGCATTGGCATTTGCGTAGTTGTTGCCATAACTGTCATGGGACATTATAGAGAATTGGGACCAACGTTCAATTACATGATCTACTATTCGTTTACGTAGTTCTCTATCTAGATTTTGGCGGCCATATATAACGTATGATAGCGCTCGGAATAGGCACGCTCCATCAGCAACAATTGGTACGACTCTGTGTGGTATATTCACGCCATTTATGTTTAAATTTTCAATTTGCATTTTTAAATTTCAGTTTCCCTAAAAAAAAAAAGGAAATGAATACCTCGATGAATAGCCCCTGGGGGCGTATTCTCTAACCAACGTTTTTGAAAGCGACAAGCAACTAACAAAAGTGTAAAGCACACACGTTTTGGTATTCTCTACTTGCTGTGCTGTTCGTGTTTAAAAAACGTAAAGCACTTTCAAAGTGTGTAAATATTGAGTTTTATTTAATGAAACTCCATAAACTAATTCGTCAACCTTTCAGTGAAAAAGTCTTTATATTTGGTGAGAGTAGATTTAAACAAGTTTATGTACTTCTTCAACTTTAAGTATGTATTTCTCTTTGTTCATGATAACTAAGCAATTTCCTTTGTCAGCCTTAGAGATAAAGATATTATTGTTAAGCAATTTGTCTTTAATGGATTTAAATAAATTAATATGTTGTTTAATAAGTGTGTTTTTATGGCGTTCAATAGTGTTAAGGGATAAGTATGTATTGAACATGGAGATGCAGTGTGATTTCAAAAGATTGGTTAAATCAATGTCATTAGAAAAGTGGTTAATAATAAATTCTACATCAATAGACAGTTCTTTAATATCTATTTTGTGAATCTTAGGTTTAACTGCAAATTTTAAACCTAAGGAGAGAAACTCAATTTCATCATCATTAAAACTACGAGGTTGGGCTGAGAAATAATCGGCCTTGGCAAGAGTTGGCGGCGCTAGGAACAAATGCAATTGTTTTTCGTAAAAATATCTTTCAAGTGACTTCTGTCAAATTTTCAGCGAGCTGCGTCACTTATTTTGTACTTGACAGTGATTGAAGGCAAACAGATTTTGCATTTTTACAAAAATGAATAAAATCGAATATCGCGCTGTGATTAGATTCTTGTTTTTAAAAAAGAAAACGAACGATGAGATCAAAATCGAACTAGATGATGTGTATATGTATGAATTCGTTATCAACAATAAAATATTGGACTGCCGAATTTAAACGCGGTTGTATGATAATTTTTGATGAAGAACGTCCAGGCCGTCCAAGAGAGGTGACCACACCAGAAGTGGTCGATAAAATCCATGGTATGGTAATTGACGATCGACGAGTAAGAGTGTGTGGGCATCTCACGTGAACGAGTGGAGAATATATTGCACGAATATTTGGGAATGACGAAGATCGCTGCCAGATGGGTGCCGCGTTTGCTCAATGCCGACAACAAGCGAAACCGTGTGACAACTTCAAAGGAGTATTTGGCAATGTTTAACTACAATAAGAAAGACTTTTTGCACCGTTTTGTAACCGTGGATGAAACATGGATTCATCACAATACGCCAGAGATGAAGGAACAGTCAAAGCAGTGGGTTTCTCAGGGTGAGTCAAAGCCAAAAAAAGCCAAGGTGTCTGCCAACAAGGTCATGGCCACAGTTTTTTGGGATGCGCACGATATTATTCATATCGATTACCTTGAAAAGGGCAAAACCATCATCGGCGATTATTACTCAAAGCTGTTGGACCGATTCGACGACGATTTGAAGCAAAAACGACCGAATTTAGCGAAGAACGAAGAAGAAAGTGCTCTTCCACCAGGACAACGAACCGGCGCATAAATGTGCAGTCGCAATGACCAAACTGTATGAATTGCGCTACGAATTGATTCCTCATCCACCATACTCTCCAGATTTGGCACCCAGCGACTATTATCTGTTTCCAGACTTGAAAAAATGGCTCGGTGGTAAGATATTTGAGTCGAATGGGGTCATCGCTGCGCCAGAGGCTTATTTTAAGGACTTCGAGAAATCGTATTATTCGAAGGGCATCAAAAAATTGGAGAATCGTTGGACAAAGTGTATAGAGCTTAAAGGGGACTATGTTGAGAAATAAATTAAGTTTTATTTATTTATTTATTTATTTGTCTTAAGTACACTACAGAAATATGAATTCCAAATGGCACAGTCTTAAAGCTAAAACAACAATTAAAGTATAATTATATATACATAAAAAAAAACCGAATATATAAATATCAAAACTCTTCAGAAATTTTAAAATACATTTAACGTCTAAAAAACAAAGTCTAACACCATACAAGACAAGAAAACAACCTAAAATTTTAAAATTCGAGCATCCTCTTAACAGATAATAACGTACAATTAAAAATATCACAGTGAGAATAGTGCTTATTATAGTTGCACAAAAGCCTATTCATGAAAGCTCTTTGTCCATAGTTTGTACGAAGTTTTGCCAAAATAAAGTTGTGTTTTCTTGAATAGGCCGATTATTTTTCAGCCCAGCCTCGTAATGTAAGACAAGTTTTTAACTCTATCATAAAAATTAAAGGAGGAGAATTTATGTTGAAAATTAGAAGAATGATTGTATTTTTTATGTATTAAGTTGTTTAGTTTGAGTTTTAATCTGTTGAATTTAATGTGTTTAAAAAACAGACATCATCCTGAATGCCGTTAAGATTAACTTGCAACAGTTGATAAGGAGTTACCTGAACCAGTTGGTCATATAAAATTTTAAGATCAATGTTAACGGGGTTAATTTTAGAGTTACACATAAGTAGCGTTTTGATGTTCGCAGATAAGTGAAACATTAAAATATGGACCTAAACATTATGACTTAAATAATGAAATGTAAGCAAATTTGTGCGGTTTATTAATTTTTTGAGTCGTTGTACTTTTGGAATTTGCCTCAATATATTTTATGTGCTTTTGGGCCATATCCAGTATTTTCACTAAAGTAACTATTCTTAAATTGGAAAGAATAAAAACCGTTATTTTTTCTTTATTTCAAATGTACAGAATTTGTATTTTTATCCCTAAAGATTCCAGAATTGATAGACAACATGCTAAAATCCAGGAATATATTGTTTACACTTCTAAGTGTTAACAATATGTATTCATTTTGTAATAAGTTTATTTAAGAAATTGCTAAAGATGGTAACATGTTACTAATATACTACAATAATTGAATATTTTAAATGATCTCTTACCAACATTTCTTTGTGAATTCTTTATATCAATTGTTCTATTCTAATTCTAATTCTTTTTCACTTAAGTTCGCTATACGCTCTCAAATTTGTATTTATAACCAATAAATGACATATTGTGTCATTTTGATATTGCTATATTTACCTACTATAGTCCAGGAGACAGTGACGATTTTCGGTACTTATTTTTCCGTCAGCAAACATGGATAGAATTGTAAGGTTAATTCTTCTAAATGAAATTCATATATATTTAGAGGGTATTTTCCGATGGGTTGAGGCCCTTTATTTCCAGTGATAAAAATAGTCATAGTAGTAAGATGTATACTGAAATACAAAATCATATACTTACCACATAAAGATTTTTAATATAAAAGTGAAAAGGCAACCGGTTTCGGCTAATTCGCCATCATCAGGCATTATAAATAATGTATGTATTAACGAAGAGTATTCGAAAATTAAATTAATCCATCTTGACGTCGAGGGTAGGAATAGCAGGGATGTATAAGGGACAAGGAAGAAATTAAATGAGAATAGGGATCAAGGTAGGGATAGCATGTAGGTAGATTATCAATCTGTCAAACGACTTCAGACAGAAAGTGGAGTGTAGACTCCTGATTCTCTTAAAGAAGTGCATTCCTTTGCATAACTTTTGTGCCTATGTTTCGTATCCAAATAGTAGAATGTTCCATTTCTTCTAGAAATCACTGCTCACAAAATCTAACCGAATTTTGACTCTATACTTTCAGAGTTATCCCTATTAAAAAAGGGAACACAGAATTGAGACATTTCATCTTCTGAGCCCATAACCTAATGAGCTGAACCCGATCAAAAGGAAATAAATCTATCAATAAACTACGTTGAATAGGTATACTCGTATTTACTAGATAAGGTAATCCAGTTTATCATAAGACAGTCTAGTCTCTAGTCTACAAACAATAATTATTATAAACCAATCACAGTTTAAAATACTGTAATCATAAACATTCATATATATGTCTCAATTAATAAAAAATGTAATATTTGTAATTTAATTTGTTGTTTATAACAAAACTTACCGGAGGAAATTTCTTGTAATATTATTGTCTGTTACAGGAACCAAGTGAAGTCCAGTTCTAAATTGGTTGTGCATATTATGGGTCATCAGAAGCATCCAACAAAAGGTGCATAATCGGGAGTATTGAAGAGCAAACGCAAGGGCTATGCATAACTCTGGATCCTGAAAGGAAACAAAATATATAAATAAATAAATAATGATTTGAAGTGAAGAATGCTTCTGTATGCTTATGGCCTTAGAGTGACCTTGGTAAATTACATAGATGGTGTGAGTCAAACCTTTCTTCTTGTAACAACAAATGTAAGTTTGTTTCTTTTATTTCAAAATGTAAATACAATAATGTTTGCAAAAATGCTCTAGCTTTAAAGATTTGGGTGTTAAATTTGATAGTTAACTTACGTTTGTTTATTATACTCGTATAAGTAATATTATTCATTAATGATTCATTAGAATTCCAATAGTTGGAACTAATACTGTTTCAACGCCTTTGTAAGATCGAAGGTAGACTTGTATTGAAGTCATTTTTCATTACTATATTCCTAGTCAATTGCCGAATTTGTATTCCAATTTTTTTTTACTTTAACTTTATGATTGGATTCTGTGCAGTAACTTTCTTCGATTGGGAATCACATTTGACGGGAAAAATTATCATATCCACTCTTATTACATAAACTACTATTTTAATATTTAGTTTTTATTTCTCTTATGATAATGGATTTTATAAATTAAGATAATATATGTACACTGTTTTCATTGGAGATGCAGTGGACACATACAAAGTAAATAAACATGGGGTTGGCAGAAAGATGTAGGTTATTTTTATCAACCGACTTCAAAAAAGGAGGAAGGAGGTTCTCAATTCGTCGGAATATTTTTTTTATGTACGTTCAGCGATAATTCTTTAACACGGTGTCCGATTTCAATGATCCTTTTTTTGTTAGAAAGGGGGTACTTTAGTGGTGGTCCCATATAAATTTGGTCAAAATCTAATAATTGGGTCCATGAGAAAACGTTCAAACTCTTAATTTTTTATAATAGCGATAATTCTTTACCACCTTGTCCAATTTCTATGATTCTTTTTTGTTAGTAAGAGGGTACCTTAAAGGGGGTCCCATATAAATTTTGTTAAGTTATGGTGATGGCATCGGCACGATTTTGAAATCGATTTTTTAAAATTTCTTTTAATACTTGTTTGCATTTTATATTTTCGGATTATAAAACTTTCTTTTTAAAGCAGCTTCACGTTAAAAGAGTTTTTTTTTTGTAAATCCCACTTACCTATTTGAAAGAGCTTGGGGTTTACCCATATGTGGGTATCTAAAGATTATTTATTATGAATACAGATTTAATTGAGGTTAGCATAGCATATTTGGTTGGTAGTTTGTTCAAATTTTTGCAGAGAAGTTGCTTTTGATGCATTTACAACAAATGCTACGAAAATTGGAGGTCATGGTAAAATGTAAATATTTGTAAGTGAAGGGGATACATTTATTTCATTATTATTTTTTATATTATGCTTTTTGTTTTTATTTTTCTTTGTGTAGAGAAATAAAGAAAGATCCAATGGTGATTTTTTTGATGGTGGCTCGGGATTTATATGTAATCTTCTAATAATATTAAAAAAATTAACGATAATGGTGAAGACAGTAGTAAATATGGGAGTTACGAATTTTTTATGTAGGTTAGGTTAGGTATTTTTTTGTTCTTCAGGCTGCACAGGTTAGGTTAATTATTGGTTTTTAGTTTTTTAAATTTTATGTATGTTTTGCGAAGCAACTCGCGATGGCTGCAGGCCGTACAGGTTAGGTAAATTAATTAATTTTCAATTTTTTTCATTTTATCTATTATTTTTCTCATTTTATCTATTATTTTTCTCATTTTAAAGTAGAGCTTTTTAATAATATTAAAGAAATCGATGATAATAGTGGCAATAGTAATAATGAATTTTCTGTATTAATAAACATATTATGAATTTAAATTGGTGATGTTTTATTGTGGAATTATGGAAATATTTTTTTGAGGAATTGAGTAAATTTCATGAGGTCACTGGGATTTTTTATTCATTTGTTTGCTTGGAATGATTTTTTACTTACGAAAAACATTTTTTTTTTTTTGTTCAAATGTGGATTTACTAAAAACTCATTTTTTCAGTTTTTTTTTTAATTTAAGAGTTGTTAGTTATTAATAAATTACGACAAGGGCATGTAAATAACACATTTGTATACTTTTCAAATGGCCACTGTAATTACACATATTGTAGACGGAGTTTACCAACGACAAACTGCCGCTGAACTTCGGTGAGCCAGTAATAGCTTTTTGGTTACTGGTGACGTAACAAGGCGAATATACGGATATCGCGCACACATTACAACTGCTCGCCAGGATCGCTTTTTAGTAAGAAATGCAATTCAAAATTCTCATTTCACAGTTCGATAGAATGCAAATCTGCTGAGCTTAAAAGGGATGGGATTAAGATTTAGACGGTCAATATCAACACTGGACTGAAACGGAATGGTATGTGGTCCTGACGAACTTTTTCGAGTTTACAAATAATTCATTATTCAATCAGTAGTAAAGTAAACGTTATACGATAAAGAGTCCTAGACGCTCCGATATGTGCTAAAACGCACAGTTCTGATCTAAAGGTAAGATTGAATCAGCTCTTTTCATTCTTCATCTTCACATTAGACAAAAAAGGACAAAAGAGGAGAGACTAGTCAGATAGAGCACTTCACGTTGAGTTATGGACTAAATCGATGGACGTGTAGGCCCTACTTTAAACAAACTTATTACAGAAACTTGTTTTAAAAATAAGCTCACAGAGTACAAGAAAGAAGTACGCAAGGCTAAAAGAAACTCATAGAGAAAGTTCTGCGAAGAGGTCTTAGAGACCACCCAGCGCCAGAATCCATATAGTTATAGCCAAAGACAGTACATCTAGTCAAGTGGGATTTCTCAAAAAAGAGAATGATTCCTACATCACGACACTAGGAGAAAGTCCGGAGATACTAAATCAGGTGCACTCTAGAAAAATTAATAGGTAGTTATATCAGACGAGATACTAGAAATAAAACCGTTCCATCCCAACCAATATGCATACCAGCCAGAAAAGTCAACTGACCTAGCCCTGGATGATCTAAAAAGGCTGCTTTAAAAGACAATAGATGACAAGGAAATCGCAATAGCCACTATCTTAGATATCGAAGGAGCTTTCAACAATGCCTTAACCAGGTCAATAATCAAGGCTCTAAAATAGAGAAACATCCTAGTTACAATATGCCAATGGATCACTGCCTGTCTAGAGAACAGGATCATTTTATCCACTCTAGGAAAGGCAACCCATACAGGCAAAAGGTACACGGGGCTGCCAACAAGAAGGAATTACACGGGGCTGCTAACAAGGAGGAATATTATCTCCAATGCTATGGTCAGCTCTTGTGGACGATTTATTCAAAACATCCAAAGAAGGCTACCAGTGCCTAGGATACGCAGACCACCTAGCAATTATCGTCAGGGGGCGATTTGCAGGCACAGTCTCGGAGCGATCTCAAACAGCTGTAAACATAGTAAACAACTGATGCAAAAGAAACAATTGTCCATTACGCACAAAAAACAACAGTTATACCATTCACAAAAAAATGGGTATCTACAGAACTAAGACCACTAGTACTAAATAACACAGTTACCCCAATTGTCACAGCCAAACACCTCAAAGTCATATTTGACCAAAGGCTGACGTGGAATCAACATCTCAAAAAACTCACATGCAAAGCTACAATAGCTTTCGTAAGCTGTAGAAGAATGTGTGAGAAAAAATACCCCAAAATGACCATATGGTTATACATAGTGATAAGATCCACGATTACGTATGACGCAGTGGCGTGGGTAACCAAAACTGCGCAGGCATTCAGCGGCTTGCCTGTCTAAGTGCTACTGGGGCCATGCGCACTACGCCAACTGCAGCAATGGAGGTATTATTAAATCTCACGCCACTGCATATATTCATACAAGGAGAAACCAGGTCAGCTATTCATAGGCTAATGCAGGGACAAAACCCAA